ACCCTGTATAGGGTTTCTGAGGAACAGCTGGTGAGTTTGAACCACTGACCTTATGGTTGGCAGTGTAGTGCTTATCCTACAGTGCCACACCAGGATGCTCTACACAATATAATTTACATTAAAATTATTGTTCTTAAAGGGAGGCCACTATATATATATACAATTTGGCATCTACTCTTTTCATGTAACATAATGTTATAGAATATTCCCATTATCATTGAACAGTCTTCAAATCATGTGAAAATGGTTGCATACTACCTTACTTAATACTCTCTTATTGTTGAGCCCTATGGAACAGTTCTCTATGGCACTTAACAACACAACGGAGCAGTTTGAGAGCAGCTCTAGTGGTGCAGTGGGTTAACTGTTGGGCTGCTAATTGCAAGGGCGAGGTTGGTGACAAGTAGTGGCTTGTGTCTATCATTATAAAAAAATGGCTGCAACAGAGTATCAGCAGAGAACTGGCAGAAATTCAAGAGAGATTAAGAAGAGAATGTGGAACTAGGAAGTTGTTGATGACAGAGGGATCTTGGCTGAACCAGAGAATACCAGAAGGATGTTTGTTGTTGTTGTTAAGTGCCATCGAGTCGGTTCTGACTCACAGCCACCCTGTATAGGGTTTCCAAGGAGCGGCTGGTGAGTTTGAACTGCCAACCTTGCAGTTCTAGCCAACCTTTAGGTTGAGTGCTTATCCTACAGTGCCACAGCAGGATTGTACTTCATTTACTATGCAAAGGCCTTTGACTGTGTGGATCATGACAAGCTATGGATAATATTGCGAAGAATGGGTATGACAGATCAGTTAATTGTGCTTACGAGGAACCTGTATATAGACCAAGAGGCAGTTGTTTGAACAGAACAAGGAGATATTGAATGGTTTAAAATCAAGAAAGATGTGTGCCAGGGTTGTATTCTTTCACCATACTTATTTAATCTGTATGCTGAGCAAAAATAATCATAGAAATTGGATTATATGAAGACGAATGTAGCATCAGGATTGAATGAAGACTCATTAACAACCTGCTATATGCATATGATACAACCTTGCTTGCTGGAAGAGAAGGACTTAAAATACAGATGAAGATCAAAGACCACATCCTTCAGTATGGACTACACCTCAACATAAAGAAAACAAAAATCCTCACAACTAGACCAATAACTAGCATCATGATAAATGGAGAAAAATGTAAAGTTATCAAAGATTTCATTTATTTTGGATCCACTATCAACACTCATGGAAGCAGCAGTTAAGAAATTAAATGACAGATTGCATTAGCAAATCTGCTGCACAAAGGTCACTTTAAAGTGTTTAAGAGCAAAGATGTCAGTTTGAGGAGTAAGGTATGCCTGACCCAAGCCATGGTCTTTTCAGTTGCCTCATATGCATGTGAAAGTTGTACAATGAATAAGAAATACTATAGAATAATTTACACTTTGGAATTATGCTGTTGGAGAAAAATATTGAAAGTACCATGAATTGCTAAAAGAACAAACAAATCTATGCTGGAAAAAGTATAGCCAGAATGTTCTTTAGAAGCCAGGATGTTGTGTCTCATACTTCATACATGTTATCAGGAGGAACCAGTCCCCAGAGAAGGACATCATGCTTAATAAAGTGGAGGGTCAGTGAAAACAAGGAAGGTCCCCAACAAGATGAATTGACACAGTGGCAGCAGCAATGGGCTCAAGCATGACAATTGTGAGGATGGTACAGGACTGGGCAGTGTTTCCTTCTGTTGTGCATATGTTGCTATGAGTCAGAACTAACAACAGCCAACAACAACAATAGAATAATAGAATGTAATAGGTAGAACCCCAAAACCTAAACACACTGCCATCAAGTTAATTCCAACTCAAACAAGGTATAGGAAATCTTAGAAAGTCATCTTTTATTCTAATGCTGAAGAAACAGATTCAGATGACAGAGAGATCAGTGGCAGAGTCAGGAGAAAAATCTGCATCAGGTTGACGTTTGTTATTCTAACTTAATTTAGCCCTAAAACCAAGAATCATTAGTAATCACGGAGTCAGTGTTGCTCCCAAAACCAATCCTGATGGCTAAGATTTTTCCTTATAACCAAGTCTGTAATATCCCTAAAATAATAATACGATATTTTGTATCATAACCTTGTAGACTGAACATGTTCACATTTTCTTTTTGAGAATTTTTGTTGTGAACTGAGTGAAAGTTTACAGATCAGATCATCAATTTTACATTCAACACTTTGTTTCATCTCCATGATTGAAATCCCTTCCAAGTAACAATAGTTCTTATCGTACTTTCTCCCTGTGGTTCTTGTTTTCATCCCAACCTCCTTCCCTACCTTTAGAACTTTGTCATTAGGTAAATGCTGCCCTTTTAATCTTTAATGGTTGACCTTGCCATGGTGAGTACATCATACTAGCGTTGTTGTCCCCCTATATAACTGTCTACGGTTTGGTTGAAAATTGGGCAACGAGGGACGTTCACATTATTTCATTTGATCTTACAAAAACCCTTTGAGGTAACGCAAAAGAGGGATTAGTGTCCCAATGTTAACAATGAATAATAAATAACCCAGAGATATCCAATGACTGGCCTAAAATCGCCTAGATTCCAGAAGGAGCTAAGCGCTTCTAACGCTATTCCTAAATAGACTACCAGAGAGGGAGTTCCTCTCCCCAAAGTATCATCCTAGCTCTTAATTCTCTTGCCAGGTGAGTCTCCATCTCCACATAGTGCTCTTTAGGGAAGCTTGCGTCTAACCACCCAAGAAGCTACTCCTATTTTGATTCAGGATTCTCACCTTTTTTTTTTTCAAGAGTTTCTTATACTTCCCCTTAGTCCTGCCTCATATTTTTTTTTACCTTTGGTTTTGGCCTCCTGGGTCTCACTCCAAAGCTCCACCCTCTACTAAGAAGAAGTTGCGTCCTAGGTATCCAAGGAGACCACATAGGTACACAGGAAGACTTGCCCACCTTTCCCCTTTCGCGCTTTCCATTGGTCAAATGGATACTCATCTAGAGTCTTCCTCTCCTCTAGTGGCCAATGGGCTTGGAACAAAGCGTGCGCACCTCCCTAACCCTGCCTTGTACTTGCTCTTAGACCCTTGTTTACCCGGCGAATTGCCTCCTGGGATTTGTAGTTTTAGAACCGCTCAGAGACCGTCAATCTGTGCGTCATTTAAAACTACATATCCCGTCAGCCATTGCGAAATGGGCGCGGGTAAACGTAGAGTACGGGTCAGGGTTGATAGAGCTTTGAAATGCCAACTTGCTGCTGAGGGTTTTGTGGCAGATGTTTAAATCTCCCAGCAGAGTTGGAAACCTTGCTCTTACTTCAGCAAACCCTCTCAAACGTTTCGTTTTCCTTTTGACTTGAGGCGGCTCAAGTCTGCCGGGGCAAGTGACCCTCTAAAGACTGAGGTGATCTAAGGGGGCAGGAGAGGGGCGTGCCATGTTCACCCCCTGCCCAGGTTGGGGGCGCAGTGGCCTTAGGTTCTGCCAGCTCCGAATGTGGATCGGCGAGGCTGTGGAGCGCGGGCCGGGCCGGTCTTACCAGGCTCGGCCGTACAGATCGGGCGGTTGTGAGCGCTGGCCCAGGTCGGAGCGCGAGGTCACTCTTCCTAGTCCCGCGCGCCAGACGCTGAAGAAGTGGACGCTGCTGGTGAGCCCGTTCGGTAGGCTGCGGACGCAGCTCTCGTGTGACCTGATCGTGAGGCCCCTCGACCCCCTCATCTACCCGGATTCTGACCGCGTGCTGGTAGCGGTGAGCGGCTTGGAGGGCGGGGTGCAGGGCCTGGACGGCCTGCAGGTGAGGTATGACGAGGCGCGGAATGAGATCTCCATCGTTTCTGAGACCATCGACCCCCAGGCTTCGGTGGAGGTGGATGCACCCCTGAAATTTGGCAAGTGAAAACGGGTTTGATTTCAAGGGCACAGGCGTACGCTGACGTGCACTGTTAATTGATCCATTTTGAACTAACTTTTGAAGCCAATTTGCCATTGCCCCATTTGGAAGCTGCCTCCGTTATTCTGTTCTACTCTAAATTTCTAAAGTATTTAGCAGTTGTATCCCTTCAGTCTGTATGCTGAAAAATAATCTGAGAAGCTGGTCTGCATGAAGAAGAATTCAGCATCAGGATTGGAGGAAGCCTTATTAACAACCTGCAGTATGCCAATGACACAACCTTGAGTGCTGCAGCATTTACGGATGAAGATTAACCTTCAACACGGATAACACCTCAACATAAAGAGAAAAAAAATTCTTACAACTGGACCAATAAACAACATCATGATGAACAAGAACTGATTGAAGTTGTCAAGGATTTCATTTTACTTGGATCCACAATCAATGCCAACGGAAGCAACAGTCAAGGAATAAAATGGTGTATTTGCATTGGGCAAATCTGCAACCACAAAACCTCTTTAAAGTAGTAAAAAGCAAAAATGTCATGGTGTGCCTGACCCAAACCATGGTATTTTCAACCACCTCCAATGCGTGCGAAAGTTAGACAATGAATCAGGAAGACAGAAGAATAATTGATGCATTTGAATTGTGTTGGTGAAGAATATTGACTATATTGGCTACCAGAAGAACAAGCAAATCTGTCTTGGAAGAAATAGCCGGAATGTTCCTTAGAAACAAGAACAGTGAGACTTTATGTCATGTACTTTGGACATGTTATCTGGAGGGACTAGTCACTGGAGAAGGACATCATGCTTGGTAACGTAGAGGGTCAGTGAAAAAGGAAGATTCTCAATGAGTTGACACAGTGACTGCAGCAATGAGCTCAAACATAGGAAGGATTGAGAAGAAGGCACAGCATTGGGCATTGTTTCGTTCTCTTGTATACCGGGTTGTTACGAGGCAGAACTGACTTGCTAGCAACTAGCAAGTACAACAGGAATTCGGTTCCCATTTACAGAAACTTTCTAAATTGAATAGAAACTTAATTTGGATAAATTCAAGTCTGATATGTGTGGAGCCCCTTATGCTGTCTTTTGCTACTATTTATGTCATTGCACTCGGTCATTAGCAAATTGGTTTAATTTTCAGGGTTGAGGTTACTGGATAATCCACTCATTGGTAAAGAATCTATCCACATTTTCCTTTGTTCACAGCATGGGGATCTGACCTTAAGACAGCCCTCTATATTAGATGTTCCATATCTACCCTGCACCAAGTATTTTGCTTTCAAATAGACACTCAAATTCTTACTGATATGTCTCCATTCTTCCTGGCTGCAGTTTTTTGTGAGTAGCGGGCTATGAAGAAAAGCAGTCAGATTGCTTGGGAAAGTTCAGTTGATAATGCCTGCAGGATATATTTCCTAGGTATCTGAATTCTGTTATTCCCCAGAGTGCAGTCCACAGTGTACGCTACATTTTTCTAGGAAGATCCCTGTAGGCTCCCCTTCTTCCTGAAACTAAAGGGTAATATCGATGATCAGAACAATAGCTAACATTTCTAGGATAATCTTTTTTTAATCTTTTAAAATTGTACAATAAAGTAGATACTGTTTTTGCCACCATTTCAGAGGAGAAAATTGAGCTATAACAAACTTCACAAAGTTAATATTTATTGTGGGTAAACAAATGAAAAACAAAAACCAGTATATGCCTTTATGAAACTTTCATTCTAGTGGGAATTGTCAGATGCTCTCAAGTTGGTTCCCACTCATAGTAACCCATGTACAACAGAACAAAACACTATCTGGGCCTGTGTCATCCTTACAATCATTGCTATGTTTAAGCTCATTGTTGCAACCACTGTGTCAATTCCTCTCATTGAGGGGCTTCCTCTTTTTCCTTGATCCTTTACCAAGCATGATATCCTTCTCCAAGGACTGTCCCTTCTGATAACATGCCCAAATTTCATGAGATGAAGTCTTGTCATCCTCACTTCTAAGGAGCATTCTGGCTGCACTTCTTCCAACACAGATTTGTTTGTTCTTCTGGTAGTTCAAATATTCAATATTCTGCACCAACACCATAATTCAAAGGCATCCATTTTTTGCTCTTCCTTAAGCTTTCGCTTGCATATGAGCCAATTGAAAATACTATGGCTTGTGTCAGGTGCACCTGAGGCCTCAAAGTGACTGATATCTTGGGCTTTTAAAGAGGTCTTTTACAGCAGATTTTCTCAATGTAATATGTTGTTTGATTTCTTGACTGCTGATTCCATGGGTGTTGATTGTGGATGCAAGTAGAATGAACCTTTGATGACTTCAATATTTTCTCCATTTATTGTGATGTTATTCACTCATCGGGTTGTAAGATTTTTTTTTTTAACATTGAAATGCAATTCATACTGAAAGCTGTAGTCTTTAATTTTCATCATTATGTATTTCAAATCTCCAGTAAGCAAGGTTGTTGCAGCATATTGCAGATTGTTAATGAGCCTTAGTCCAATCCTGATGATGCACTCTTCTTCATGGTGTCCAGCTTCTTGGCTTATTTACTAAGCGTACACATTGAATAAATGAGGATAGATTTCAAGAAATGTGCTACTCTCTCATTTATGAACGGGGTTTGAAATGACTTGAGTCTGCTTAAACCTACTTTTTTTTTTTTTTTTTTTTTTATCACTTCTCAGCTTTTTAAAACCAGTCTTGTGGAATAAGACATGCTACCCTAAAACATGTAATAGTTTGGTGTGGGAAGGAAGAATTGCCAACATAATTATAATACAAGCTAGACTTGAGTATTGAAATAGAGCTACGCACAATTATATGGGAACCTAGACAAAATGGATGCTACTTAGGCTCTTGATTCCAAAGTTTACTACTATGATTCCTCTTTGTTCAGTCAGAGCTTCATTTACAAATTGACTGGGCCCTCTTCCATCACCATCTTCAGTTTTCTTGCCATCTCCCTGTTCCTGCAGTCTGTCTGTGACCTGTAGTGAATGAATGAGTGAGACTAGCACTACCTCAGGGTGCCTACCTGCACCTTTTCCTTCCCTCACCTACCTATCCTGTGTATCTTTAAAATGTATTTCCTTCTCTCCATATCTGACAACACTGGCCTTATTAGGCCTGATGTTGCAACACTACTCAACTAGGTAGTAAATTTTGCAGTTATATTTGCACCCATGTAAGTGTGGAATTCGTTTTAGTTTTGCCAAGAAGTTTAAATCCCAACCAGAATATGACTTATTTTAATTATAGACTAGAGACCACCATGTAGATAGATTGTGTGCCTAAACTATTGAAATTTGGACTCCTGGTATGTTGCTATAGGATAAGCACTGGACTGCTGGACTCAAGGTCAGAGGTTCAAATCCACCAGCTATTCTTGGAAACCCTCTACAGGGTCCTTTGAGTCAGAACTAACTAACTTGATGGCACTTAACACTACAATATTGAAAATTTGGAGCTAGGCCCCAATATTATGGGTTAGGTAACACTAATTATTAAGAGAAGCAGTTTTTTTTAAGGGAAACCATCAATATTTATGGGGTGGGGGGCACGGTGGCTCTGTAAGCACTGGTCTGAACCACAGGGTCAGTGATTCAAGCTCACCAGCACCACTCAGCAGGAAAAGGGTGAAGCTTTCTGCGATTTAAGGACTCGGAAATCCTAATGGAATTGCTGTGTCTCTGTGTGCATGTGTGTTTTCTCAGGAAGGAGAGGCTTCTATGATCTTGCACAGGAATTCTTATTAGAACTGGAGAATTTTCCCTCCTTCATGTCTCACATATATTATTTTCTCCTTTTCACACCAACAGTATCACAAGACTAGCCTGGCAAATGAATACAATAGACTGTGAATAAAAGATGTTGGGATCTGTCTCTTTATGTGCATATCTAGATGATAGGTACCATTAAAAAGAACTGCTTTATTTCTAAAAACTTTCAGAAAAAGTTTTTAAGTATAGTTCTTTTGCTCTTTTAGAGAGAGACCGTTGGTAGCTGTGCCCCCTCTAGGAGTCAGAAATACTGCTGACGAGATTTCTGGGCAAAGAGGAGCTAGCTCTCCTGGGGCTCCTGAAATGCTTAAGAGTGCACTAATCATAATACTAAGTTGTTGTTTTTTTTTTTATCTTTTAGATTTGAATGTCAAGTCATCAGGATCTGGTTGTGTAAAAATCCAAAAAATGGAGTGTGATAATTGCAAAATTGCAACAGATCAGGGGACCAGCATCTTACAGTCTGTTAAGGTATAAACTTATTTTTCTAATTATTTTTCAATATTATTATTATTTTTTAGCATCCTGGTAGATAAGCACTGGACTGCTAACTGCAGGGTCAGTGCTTCAAACCTACCAGCCTCTTCTCGGAAACCCTATCAAGCTTTGCTGTGACTCAGAACTGACTCTACGGCACTTAACAACAAAAAATGTTATTCTTATTAAGAAATTATATGCAGTATTAAGCCTGCAAGTTAATTTTTGGTATTGTAACTTTCTTGAGTTTTAGAGCAGAGTCCAGCAAACTTTCTGTAAAGGGCCAGAATTTATTGCCCTCATTTACTGATGAGGGAGTTGTTAGTTGTGCCATTGAGTTGGCTCTAACTCAGTGACCTTATGCATAATAGAAAGAATACTGCCCGATATGTTGCCATACTCACAGTCGTTGTTAAACTTGAGCCCACTGTACCATTCCATCTCATTGGAGATTTTCCTCTTTTTCTCTGACCCTCCACTTTTCCAAGCATGACGTCCTTTTCCAGGGACTGGTCCTGATAATATGTCCAAAGTATGAAAGACAAAGTCTCACCTGACTTCTACGGACCATTGTGGCTGTGCTTCTTCCAACCCAGATATGTTGGTTCTTCTAACAGTCCATGGTGCTTTAATATTCTTTTCCAACACCATAACTCAAATATACCAATTCTTCTACAGTCTTCCTAATTCATTGTCAAACTTTCACATGCATATGAAGCTGTTGAAAATACCATGACTTGGGTCAGACACACCTTATTTCTCAAACTGACATCTTTGTTCTTGAATGCTTTAAAGAGGTCTTGGGCAGCCTAATGCAATACTTAGTTTGATTTCTTGACTCTTGTTTCCATGAGTGTTGATGGTGGAGCCAAGCAAAATAAAAGCTTTGACAACTTCTCTCTTTTCTCCGTTTATCATATCTACCGGAGAGGATTTTTGTTTGCTTTGCATTGAGGTGCAACCCATACTGAAGGCTGTGATTTTTCATCGTCATCAAGTATTTATAAAGTCCTCTTTCAGCACGCAAGGTTGTACCATCTGCATATTTCAGAATGCTAATGAGTCTTCCTCCAATCCTGGTTCCATGTTCTTCTTCATATAATCCAGTTACTTGGTTTTTTGATTGAATAAGTATGGTGAAAGAATCCTATTTGAGTATTTTTAGTACCTGATATTAAAGATGCTCTTTTCACAAGTTTATGTTGGTAGCTGCTTCATTGCTGTTTTATGGGACAATGTTTTCATTTTTCCCCAAATTGTTTTTTTTTGTTTTGTTTTGTTTTGTTTTTTATCCAAGTCAATCAACATATTGTAACAAAGAGAGCCAAGAAACAGATTATATGGTATAACTTAAAAACCTAAAATTAAGGATTTGTTTTTAAGCATTTATCTAACACAGTGTGTTTTGTTTCACATTTGGTTATTGCATCATAGTTTCTTTGAAATTTGCGTTTGGGGTTGATTCTCATTTCAAATAACTTCTTTCAGAGAAGAGTAGAAGAAAAAGGGGAGTTACCCAGAATTATATCTGCTTTGACTTATTTCAGAGTCTGTTTCAGGTCACTGGATGATATCCATTGTTGTTAGGTGCTGTTGAATTGGTTCTGACTTAGAGCGACCTTATGTATAGCAAAACAAAACTTTATCCACTCCTCACATTATTGCTAGGTTTGAGCCCATTGTTACAGCCACTGTCTCATTGGGGATCTTCCTCTTTTTCACTGATACTCTACTTTACCAGGCATAGTATACTTCAGGTACTGGTCCCTCCTGAAAATATGTCCAAAGTAAGTGAGATAAAGTCTTGCCATTCCTACTTCTAAGGAACATTCTGGCTGTATTTCTCTTAAGATAGATTTGTTTGCTCTTCTGGCTGACCAGGGTATATCCAGTATTCTTTGCCAACATTACAAAAGGCATCACTTCTTTTCATTGTCTAGTTTTCACGTGAATATGTGGTGGTTGAAAGTATCATGGCTTAGGTCAGGCACACTTTACTCCTCAAAGTGACATCTTTGCTTTTGAACACGCAGAAATCTGTTGCAGCAGATTTTCCCATGCACTGTACCATTTCATGTCTTGGCTTCTGCTTCCATGGGTATTGATATGCTTCCAAGTAAAATTAAATCCTTGACAATTTCAGTCCTAATGGAAAGTTGATATCTAGGAAACATAAAATATGCAACTTTCTATAAGGGTGAGTGAAAAATTATCTGCACTCAGAGTGTAGAATTTATTTTAATCAACTTTTAGAAAAGACAAATACATCATTTTTTGACATAATTTCCTTGCTTTTCAATACACTCTTTCCATCTGTCAACAAGCTTTCAGATTCTTTTATTAAAAAATGTTTTAGGCTAAGCTTTGAGGCACAAATGCACCACTGCCTTCATCAGAGGTGAATCTTCGTCCTCTAAGGGCTGCTGTCAGGGGACTGATCAGGTGAAAATATGATGGAGCAAGATCAGGACTATAGGGAAGATGCTTTAACACCTCTAAATGAAATTTTTGTAGAGTGTCAGCAGTGTGGGCAGAGGTGTGTGCACGTGCACTGTCATGCAGGGTTACAATGCTGTTGAATAGCAGTCCTCTGTGTTTAATCCAAAGTTTAGACATAAGCTCTTCAGTGAGTCTCCCACTGTTGATTGTTGAACATTTTTCTTGATAGTGTCCCAATACTGGCCCTTGAGAATCCCAGAAAACCATAAGCATCAATTTAAAATTTCTCTTATTTGGTGATTGAGAATGTTTTCATTTCATATTCTGCATTTGTTCTCATGCTCGCGGTAATGAATTCATGTCTCATCACCAGTAATGATTTTTTTTTTTTTTAAAGAAACTTTTACCTTCCTTTGAGTATCAGTCCAAATTTTGTTTGCAGATGTCCACGTTCACACCTGCACAACAGTGACCTTGAACAGAAAGCGCTGATAAGATGGTGCAGTCAACAGAAGTTTTCAAATAACTGGAGTGTGGGTAATTTTTGACTCACTGTTATATTAGGAATTATCCCTCATTATAAGTCTCAATATACTAGAAAAATAGTCATCACAGAACCGCTTTTATATTTTTATGCTTGTAAGGCATTTTATGAATAATTTACAGAAGTAAGAATAAGAGGAATAAGACAACTTTATTAGAAATGTTAGTAAGAATTTAAACATTGTAAACCCCGAATTTTCATCTATCTTGGTTTAGGAGATATGTATGCCTGATATGGACAATGTTTTTTTGAATGCAACTAACTGTATCATCTGTAATTCATGAACCTGGTACATATCTTATATTGCAAATCTTGATTTCAGATTTCAAATACATTTTTGATAGGTTCTAGTTTATTACTACTTCTGGTAATTCTTGTACTTGCATAATAAAAACTTAATCTAATTCCCAATTTCAAATGCATTTCTAATAAAATATAGTTCAGCATTAGTTCCTGTTCTTCTTGCACTTAGAGTTTCACAACGTATATTTTCATATGCTTCGATAGTTTGTGTGCGCTGTAGGGTAAGTAGTGGACTGCAAGGTCAGTTTGAACTGCAAGGTTGGTGATTCAGACTGACCAGCTGCTCTTTGGAAATCCTATACAGGTCGCTGTGAGTCAGAACTGCCTAGATGGCACTTAATGATTTTATTGAAGATAATCTTTTTTGCTTGGTCATTGTAAAACATGTTTATTTTTAGATTTTTAAAGACTAACTAAGTGACTGATATGATGAATTATTTTCACATTACTTTTATTTATATACCTGCCGTCAGCAATTGTGTGTATATGAGCTATATCGAATAAATATAGTTGCTTCAAACATAGTTTGTCACACATCCTTTTAGCAAACAGAATGTCTCCAGCATAACACATTCTTCTTCAGACTATACCAACTTTAAGAATGTGGGCTTAGGAATCATACAAAGCTTAATTCATATCTTGGCTTTGTTAATTTTTAATTGTGTCATCTTGTTATTTAACCATCCTGAGTGTTGGTTTTCTTCCTTTATAAAACAGGAAAAAATATAACTTATTTTTCTGTGTTATTGTGAGGATTAAATGGATGTTCATATAAAGTAGTTAATGTTAATTTTATTACAAGGGAAATGTCAAATTAATGATAACTATTATTAGGTTTCTGGTGTGGCACTGCAGGATAATGTGCCGGACCACAAAGTTGATTTGAACTGCAAGGTTGGCGTTTCAAACTCACCAGCTGCTCCGTGGAAACCCTGTATAGGGTTGCTATGAGTCAGAACCGACTCTACAATACTTAACAACAACACCATTATTAGTATTAATAATAATAGTCATAGTGATTAATGTCATCATAATCTTCATCATTGATGTTTAATTGGCTGGTCACAGTGATCTTTGATTCCCAAGTCCTTCAGGAAAGCTACTGGAATAGGCACATATCTTTTCTTTCTTCTTTTGAATCCAGATGGGTAATTAAAAATTTTTAATATGAGGGAGTTTAAAAAAGTTCATGGAAAAATTCCACTATCTTTTTATTTTTATTTTAAGTTTTTATTGTGAATTGAGTGATAGTTTACATGGGAGAACATTAGCTTTACAGTCATCCTATTCCATTATCTTTTAATCCCATTATTTCCTGACTTTTTGAAGCCCCCTCTAAACAGTTGACATTTTCCCCCCCTGTTGATATTATTCCAGCAGTTTATTTGTTTTTTATTCCAGTTTCTTCCTTTGCTGCTTAATGTGTTTTTTGCAAATAAAAAAGAAATGTTTAAAATGTTGGATATTTTCTATTGGTATGAGTCAAAGTTATTCTCTCTTCTTCTCTATAGGTATTTTTGTGTTTGTCTTACAGAGTCAAAAATTGCGTGTTCAGACAAAAGGAGGGAAGGTGATCTGTCTGGGAACAGTTTATGGAAATGTTGATATTCATGCATCAGATAAAAGTGTAAGATTATAACTTCTTTTTTTAGTAATGATTTTGCTTCGTATTGTCTTAACACAATGAGCAGGTTCTACAAAATTTGTGATATAACACTCCCTTTTGAATGCATTTTACTTCAATAGTGAATTCAAATTTGAATTTAAGGTAAATAAATATACAATTTAAACTTCATGAGCTTTTTGAATAGTTTATAGTTAATATTTTTGACATCTATTTAATTCCTTATCTGGAATCAATAAATTCCTAAATGCTTAATATTGAATTCTAGTTCTGAAGAGAATTTTATTTTATAATCGTGGGTTAAAATACCACATTAAATAACAGCATTAATATCTGGATTAAAATTTTCTTCTAAATTAGGCTTATTTTCCAAGACCTGTTTAGTTTGTGTTTGGGCAAGTTGAAGTTTAAGTTTCAAAATCAACTTTCTTCAGTATTTTCCACAAGGTGGCACCATTTGATAGCATTGGTGTTATTCAAAAGCTTTAATTAATCCGAGGATTTTGAGGGTTAATAGGAAGAGAATTTGTAATTTTAAAATAACTTCTTTTGATGCTTTCTGTGACATAGCATAGTATTAAAGGTAAAAGTAGTGATCCAGAGAGAGCAAGGAGAAGCCAGAGACTGCCTCTTCTGATCGAGTCTCACAAGTCACACACTGTCACCTCTTCCATAGTGTACACTGCTCCATCCAGTTCACACTCAGGGAAGGGTAATTAACCTTTATATTTCTTAAGAAGAGAAGTATAAAGAATAGTAAAAGGATATATAACCTAAGAACGGAGTAACATAAACTAAATCCAAAACAAAACAAGAAAGGAAATAAAATTAATGAATAACAGGAGAGAGAAATAGAAAGTATTAAGAAGGTCATGCTAAGCCCAGATATATCAGTATTATATCAAAAGTAAAATGCTAAATGTTCCTTTTGTCAGATAAACACTGATTAAAACAAAACACATTTATACACTGCTTATACCAGGTATACCTCAAATTAAAACGCTATAGAAGAGTTGAGAGTAGAAGGATGTAAAAAGATAGCAGGATTAGAGACAAAGAAGGTTATTTCATAATGATGAAAACATAATTCATTAAGAAATGTAACAGTTCTAAATTAGAATGCACATAATAATATAGCCTCAAAATATATGATGTAAAACTGACAGTAATTAAAACAAAAATAGACAAATCTGTAATCAGAGTGAAAGATTTTGGCATACCTCTCTCAGTAACTAATAAATTTGTATATAGAAGATCTGAACATGTTAAACTTTTTATACTTAATTGACATATGTATTGAATGCTGTTCCCAATATTGACATTGTTAAGTGCTGGGGAGTCGGTTCCAGCTCATAGTGACCCTGTATAGCATTTCTGAGGAATGGTTGGTGGGTTTGAACCACGGACCTTGTGGTTAGAAATTCAATGCTTATCCTATAGCACTACACCATGACATTAGTACGTTTTGAAAACAGACCAGAAGCTGAGCCATAATCAATATCAACACATCTCAAAGAATTGATATTATAGAATGAATATTTGTGAGCCACAGTGTAATTAAACTAGAAGCTAATAACATATAATTTGTTTGGAAATTAAGCAGTACACCTACAAATAGCTTGTTAGTTCAAACCTGATGAGAAGAATATTATGAAAAAAGAAACGAGTAACTTTCACTCAACAGTGAGGATGAAATAGAAGAATTCTACCAACTTCTTCAATTTGAAATTGATTAAGCATGCAATCAAGATGTATTGATCATTACTGGTGATTGTAATGCAAAGGTTGGGAACAAAGAAGAAGGATCAGTAGTTGGAAAATATGGCTTTGGTGATAGAAATGATACTGGAGAATGCATGATAGAATTCTGCAAAATCAATGTTATTCATTTCAAATATCTTCTTTAGACAGTATAAGAGATGACTATACACATGGACCTCACCAAGTGAAATACATAGAAATCAAATTGACTACATCTGCGGAAAGAGACAATGGAAAACCTCCGTATCATCAATCAAAACAAGGCCAGTGACAGACTGTGGAACAGACCATCCATTACTCATATACAAATTCAAACTGAAGATGAAGAAAATGAAAACAAGTTCATGAAAGCCAAAATATTACCTTGAATATATCCCACCTGAATTTAGGGATCATCTGAAGAACAGATTTGATACATTAAACAGTAAAGACTGAAGATCAGAAGAGTTGTGGGATGACATCAAGAACATCATACATAAAGAAAGCAAAAAGTCATTAAGAAGACAAGAAAGAAGGAAAAGGTCAAAATGGATATCAGAAGAGACACTGAAACTTGCTCTCCAGTGTAGAGATGCTAAAGCAAATGGAAGAAATGAGGAGGTCCAAGAGCTGAACAGAAAATTTCAAATATCAG